CCCTGTGACCTTGGGCAGCCCTGGGTTCTCTCCAAGGTGCTGACCAGCTGACCTGTGCATCCCCTGCCACTCTGAAGGGCTCCTGGCAGGTCCCAGTCCTACCTTCCCAGGTCCTGACTCTAGCCTGTAAGGGAGCCCAGAGGCTTGCATGGAAGGAGGGAAGGGACTGCAGTCAGGGCAGCTACAGGGAAGCTGGCTCTGTCACCTCCTTCCCCTCAGTGCTCCACTTACTGGGATGAGCCTGCAGCCAGGCCCTAGGCTCTGGGCACGGCTGGGGTGAGTCTCAGGGCTGAGGTAAGGGCGAGGGCACATTTGGCTCATGCCACAATCCTCCCAATAGCTACCATGTAGGAGTCTGCACAGACAGGGTATGGAAGACTGGCTCCAACTCCCACGACAGCCCTGGCTGGGGCTTAGTAAAGAACTACTGGTAACTCGGTTCCCTGAAGCTGTGGTTTTAGGAGGTCTCTGGGGGATCATCCGCTGGTGCCAGGTGAGATGTGAACCCAGGAGGCAGGGGAACCCCAGGGACACATTCCTGGCTCAGATAGGTAAGGGCAGTGCAATAAACAGCTGCTCTCAAGCTCTAACTTTGAACTTCTCTGTTCTCTCTCTCTCTCTCTCTCTCTCTCTCCATTTGCTTCCCTGGGGGAATGGGAGGAGCTGAGAGAAGAGGGCAGAGGTGGCTAAATCCCTCTGGCTGCTACCCCACCAATGTGGCCTGTGTCTCTGGGCCTTGGCCTCTACCAGCTGTTACCAAACTTTCTTTGTCTGGAGTGGGAGCCAGAGCTTCCAGAGCAGAAGGGAGCCAGGATTAATCCAGACACGTAGCTTAATCCAGAAAAGATCAACTCGGGGTTTGAGAGCTGAAAGCATCGCTCAGGAGACAGGTGGCCCCCTCGGGCCCAGCCTGCACAGGCTGCTGGGAGAGCTGTGCCTGCTGTCCCAACATCAGGACCTGGCAAATGCTGGGCTTTTTCTAGGACCCTGGGCCTATGGAGAAGGGGCCTAAGGGTTGGAGAACTCTAGTCTGATCCTGGTTCTGCTGTGACCAAGGGCATGTCTCTGCCACTCTCTGAGCCTCAGTTTACGTGGTGCACATGTGTCACCATGGGTGGACAACCACTGTGGATATAATCATGGGCTGAATCGTGTGGTAAGGACCAGAGTGAGTAGGGAAGTTAGGGGAGGGAGCTGTTGGGGAAGGCTTCTTGGGGGAGGAAGGCTTTAAGGTGAAGTGTGATGAGAAGGAAGGGGCACCTTGAACACCGACACAACACAAGACAAAAATAAATTTGTTGTATCCTCAGCACAGAGGCCAGAGGAAAATCACTGTTCTCGTTACAGTCTGGATATGTGGCTACTATGTCAATCCTGGGGTCTAGGCCAGACCCTGCCAGACCCAGCAAATAAGTCCCTTCCCACCTCTGGATCTCAGTGTTCCCATCTATAAAATGATCGCATAACATATGGTCCCTTCCAACTCTGGACTGGGTAGGAAATGGGTCCAGAAACCCACTGGGATGGGATGGGGCAGGCAATGGGGAGGCATAAGAGATTACTGAGCACTGGGGTATCTGATGAAAGGGTATTGGAGGGAAATGAACTTGACAGTGAGGTAGAGTGAGCAGCCAGGCAGGAGGGATAGACTTGAGAGGATCAAGGGGCCCAATAAAGAGGTAGGCAGGACCCCAGGGAAGATGGGGCTGGCCAGAGGAGGAGCTTTAGGGGGACTGTAGTACAAGTGAACAACACCTGTGCTTGGTCAGCTGGAAACCTTAAATATAAGCTGCATAACATCTCTGAGTCTCACTGTCCACATCTGTAAAATGGGCTGGTAAGCCCATGTCACCCAGTCCAGGGAATGATGTACATGAACACCCTGGATGGGGCACCTGTCACATAGTAGGTACTCACCATGCAGTTCCCTCTTCCCTCCTTAATGTGACTCCATGGCCTGGAGGAGATATGCCAGAGTTGTAGGCTGGACACCCTGGCCCCTGATCCCCTGATCAGCACATCAAGGTTCCCCCAGACCTGGGCTGCCTGAGATGGAGCATTCCCCACCACCCCCGCCTGCGGACAATCAGGCCTTTCCTCCTGATGCAGGTTAATGATTAACTTAGTTTTTACCAAGTAAGTCTTGGAGTTGGGACCAAGCCTTGGTTGAGTACAGGTTCCTTGGCATTTAGGAGTGGGGAAAGAGGAAGTTGGAATGTGGGGTGTGGAGTGGGGAGGCAGGAATTCTACACTGGTGAAGGAGCACTGGGCCAGGAATTAGAAGACCTGGATTTGGGGCACTTACCTCACTGTGCCTTAACTTCTCCATCTGCAGAATGGGAATTAGAATTAGTCCTGTGCTACATCTCTCCCTGGTGAAGGGACAGATGTGAGGGCTTCACAGTTCAGTCAACAAATATGTCAGGGATGTGTCATCACATCCTGACTGAGCAAACGTTGTCACCTGCCCTTCCCATTCATCCCCACCAAGCCCTCATGCCACCCTGCTCCAAACCACAGCAGCTGCCTCCCAGGCTACCTATGGCCGAAGCCAAGTAAATAGGAGACCAGGGGGGAAGCAAATTCTCCTGCTTCTTGGAAAAGCTTCCGTTTCACTGGCATGCAGCCCGCGGTGTTGGCAGAAACTGTCTTAACGTGGCAGGCATGGGGGTTCTAGGGATGTAGATGGGCAGAAAGCAGGCAGACGTGATGAGGGAGGTATAGGGGACTGGGGGGGGTTGGTCTTCAGGGGTGAGGCTGCAAGGGGGTAGGGTGTAGGCACAAGCCAGGGTGGGGATCCAGGGGCAGAACGGGCTGTTGGCACAGCCTGTGTAAATAACGTAGGCCCATAGCACACACGTGTGTTTGCATAGAAGGACTTGAAATGATTCCAGGCCTGCCCTCTGTCCCCCACAACCCCACCCCCCCGTCCCTGCCCACCACACCCCACCCTGACCTTTCCTTCCTTGTCACTTAAATGAGCCCTTGAAAGGGAAATTCAAAATCAAAGGGAACACCCTTCTTTCTTGCTGGCATTTCTCACTGCCACGGGACAGCCAAGGCTGTCATGTAGTGTTGGGAAGGGTGGATGTTGCACAAGGGTGCCTGGCTGAGGGGGCGAGAGGGGCTGAAATCCCACTTGGGCTTCATTCACTAAGCCATGCTATCTAGAGAGGATGAAACATTGTTTTCCAAGTTATATGAAGGTGTCAAATGGGCTAGCTGCAGCCCGGGAGAAGCCAGAGGTGACTTCCAAGCTGAGTTCTTTCCCTTGTCCTACCTGCAGGGGTAAATGCCAGCTGCACACTGAGGCTACAGGTCAGTCCCATGGGGCTGACTTGAGATGGGCTGGGGAGACACCATTTCCCCACCATCCCAGGTAGCACCATAAACTCCATCATTAGCTGGTCTACCAGTCCTTTGATTAAAGCCTCATCCTCTTATTGACCAGATGTCTTTAAAGCAGCCCTTCTCAAATTTGATCATGCATCAGAATCCTCCAGAGAGCCTGCCTTAGTAGTTCTGGGGTGGGCTCAAGAATTGGTGCTTCTAACAAGTTTCCAGGTGGTGCTGATGCTGCTGGTCTAGGGACCACACTTTGAGAACTGTGGTTTCAAAATATCAATACCTCTGAGAAAGGACATGCATGGACTTTAACAGGTTCATGAGCTCCCTTCCTTCTTTCTAAATGGTTCCCTATATGTTTGGGAGGGTAGATCTATTGATTATATTACCCCCAGTTCTGATTTATCATTGAGTCTCGAGCCCACAAATCACCGAAATACCCCAGAAATCCCAGCATCTTGGTCTATGTGCAGTTCTCAAGTCCCCTGCCTCACCCAGACTGCATGCTCTGATCTGAAGTTCAGAGAAAAGGGCCTGGGAGAGGCAGAGCCTGGATGACCAGTGCAGAGTGAGGTCCCTCATTCCTCATGTTGCAGGCCATCAGGTGCCTCCTGGGGGGGGGGTCTTGGGGAGCAGCAGTGAAGAATGACTGACTGCATGGCCAAAGGTCTCAGTTGTTGCCTTGAGCTGGGGCCTTCTATCCACTTCCTGCTACCACTGGAAAGTCAGCCTGTAGGTCAGCATGTGGGCACCATCTCTGGGCCACTGCACATTCCTTTGGGGCTTGAGGGAAGAAGAGAGGGCCTGGGAGCTGTAATGGCCCTGGGGGCAGCCCCTCTCAGGGGAGGAGGAAGTGGCCTGGGTAGCAGGCTCCCAGCCCTGAATATGGGAGGCAGAGGCAGGCACACTTGTGAGTTTCCTCACTGGCTGCCTCAGGAATGATACACTCTGAATTTAGTCACATCCCTCAAATGGATTCTACCCCTCCTCACTCGTTTCTCTCTTCCTTCGCCTGGCTGGTGAAGATGATGGTGGCCTTCAGGATGCTGGCCTTCTCCCTTCCACCCTACTTTTGCCCCTTTCAAGGGCAGAATAAAAGAAAACAAGCTTTGCTATAGCAGGGAAGATTTAAGTTACCTCTCAGAAGGAGAGATGTCCTTCCTACTTCCTTCACCAGACTGTAGACTAGGATCTCCGTGTGGGCCAGCTTGGTGTGGCCCAGAAGGCTGGAAATTATCCAGGGCTCTTTTTCCAAGCCTCAGTTTGCACATCTGCCAAGTGGCGCTAATCACCCCTTCCATTATGAGGACTGAAGAGATCAATTACCTCAGATACCTCAGAGGATTGTTTTACACACAATACATGTGTAAAGATTTGTTGATCCATCCATCCAGGCTTTCCTTGGGGAGCAATGGAGCTGTCCTTTTACCCTCCTGCCCCCACCCACTCACTCCCTTTTCCTCTGCCCAGTCCTGTCCTGGCTGCCCAATGACCCAGAAACCCCTGACTCTCTCCCAGGCCCAGCCACTGTCCATGGGCCCCTCATTTCCGTAACCGGCTTAGCGGCCCCCATGGGGATAGGGAGGTGGCCAGAACCTCACTCTCCTCCCTCTTTCACTTGTGCAGACGCAGCCACCAGCCCCAGCAGCAGCGGCATGGGCAGCGCCAGCCCCGGCCTGAGCAGCATGCCCCCTGGCCGCCTCCTTCTGCCCACCGACGCAGTGTTGCGGACAGGTCTAGAAAAGATGGCCATGGCAGGGGTGGGGCCCGAGAGACGGGACTGGAGCCCCAGTCCTCCTGCCACGCCTGAGCAGGGTCTGTCCGCCTTCTACCTCTCCTACTTTGACATGCTGTACCCTGAGGAAGGCAGCTGGGTGGCCAAGGGCCCCGAGGCCAGTACTCAGGAAGATCTGCCCAAGGAGCCTGAGCAATGTCCAGTCATCGACAGCCAGGCCCCAGGGGGCAGCCTGGACTTGGTGCCAGGTGGGCTGACCCTGGAGGAGCACTCACTGGAGCAGGTGCAGTCTATGGTGGTAGGCGAGGTGCTCAAGGACATCGAGACAGCCTGCAAGCTGCTCAACATCACTGCAGGTAAGCCCCTCTGGCACACCCACCTCCATACAGTGGGGCTCAGGCAAGGCTGAGGTCACTGGGGTGGGTGATGTCACTGTCTTCTGGGCTCTGGCCACTCCTTCTCCCCAGCCCAGGCAACCCCAGGGATGCTGGAACTTCTACACATATGGGAAACCCATAACACACATGAGCTGTGAGCCTGGGCTAGAAGGTTCTGGCCCATCTCTGTGCCCCAACCATGCCAAACCAGTGCCCTTACTTGGTAGGTACTGGATGAAGGGAACTCAAGCCCTACGGTCTCAGGCCCACAGACTCCTTTCAGACTCACCTCTGCTCTCCCCTTACTCACTGTGCTCACTCACACCAGACTCTTTCCTATTCCCAGAACACTCCCACCTCAAGACCTTTGCACCTGCTGGTCCCTCAGCCTGGAGACTCCCACTCAGTCCCTTTGCAGTTCTCAGAACACTCCCATCTCAGTCCCTTCCCCAGACCATCTACTTGGCTCACCCCTCACTTCCTTCAGGTCTTAACTCAAATGGCACCATCTCCACGAGACCTTCCCTGACCTCTCTCTTGAAATTGCTGCCCACACCCCACCTCCTGTTCCTCTTCCCCACTTTACTCCTCTCATGACACTTATTACCACTTGCTGTGCTACACGCTTTATTTATTTATCTTGTTTACTGTGTGTCTCCCCAACTCGAATGTACACTCCACATTTGAGGGCAGGGATTTTCATTTGTTTTGTTCACTGCTGCATCCCCAGTTCCTAAAATAGCACTTTGCACATAATAGATGCACAATAAATAGTTGTTGAATGACTTTAGTGACTAACACTTCTTATATGCCAGGCACTGTCCTAAGACCAGGAAATAGAGTGGTGAATTCTACACAAAAGTCCCTACATCATGGAACTTATATGACAGTGAAGGAAACAGACCCAAAACTCATAGATGAATGCATCCCCAGCCAGGTGGTTGTGGGGACCCTGATGTGTGTGTGTGGGGAGGAGAGCATCAGGGGGCTGAGCACATGTGTGACTGCCTGGCCTAGAGGTGTGATTATGGAGTTGTGCTCCCATCACCTCTCCAGCTTTGGGGAGCCCTGCTTCCTCTCCCTGGGTCTCTGGGCCCTGGCTTTTGAACGTCTCACTCTCTGTTCTGCTTTCACATGGAAGGGTCTTCACAAATCCCCCAGGCCCACCTTCTCCTCCACAGCCTCATCTGGCCCCAGTCCCCACCCCACCCCACCCCCAGTTGGTATTCCTACTTCAGGCAGCTTCCATGGATTCCCCAGTCCTCTAGGTTCCCAATCCCTGTGCCAGCCCTACCCCAGAAGGTTTTCCCACGGTGCCTCTTCCCCCACTCTGGTCTGGGAGGTGCCTGCTCTCTAAACAATGAGGACAGGAACAAATTGCTCTGATCTCAAGAAGGAAAATGGGCTTATTAAGCGGGGGCATGCCAACCAGCAGGTCACCCAGCTGGGGCACTGGCTCAGAGCATCGTGTTCACTTTGGAGGCTCCATTGTGCCTGAACCCACCAGTCTGGCCCCTAGCCTGTGTGCCCTGCCAGGCTCACCTAGAGCAGCAGGGCACATCTAGGACTAAGCCTGCATAGCCCCTGCTGGCTTCTAAACCTGTGGCTGTCCCTTACCAGTCTGCCCTGCCATTCATTTATTCACCACTCGTGCACTGAGCTATGCACCCAGCCCTCTGTTAGCCCTTTGTGTAATAGTTTCCTCATCCATAAAATACAAGTGGGTATTGAGGCTTGGGAGTTGTAGGACTGATTCTTGGTAGTATTGGTCTCTGATTCTTTGAAAAGCTTGGGCAAGAAGCATCTGAGGAGAAGCTGACCTTAATGTCATTACCCCCTCCAGGACTGAGCTCCCTCAGAAGGCTTTGGAGGGGTTGGGGGTCCCTGGAAGAACCTGAGGCCCTGGTAGAGTAGGGGATACAGAGGCCTCAGGCTGCCCTGTCCTGAGCCAAATTTGTTTTCAAGGAGCTGGCTCCATCCTCTCACTGCCCTCTCTTCTTGGGTAGCCCCCTTCCAGATCCTCCAGCCCCCAAGCCAATCCCAGGGCCCTTCAGGCCCTGTCTAAACCTATCTCCATCCCAGGGAGGTTATGGCCCTGGACCACAAGCTCCCCGCAGGGTACCCATCAGAGCAGAGTGGGCCACATTACAAGTGCTGCCCTCATTCAGCCACTGGAGCTGAGGAGGTGTCTCTTGCCCAGACCCCATGGACTGGAGCCCTGGCAACGTGCAAAAGTGGCTCTTGTGGACAGAACACCAGTACCGGCTGCCCCCTGTGGGCAAGGCCTTCCAGGAGCTGGGGGGCAAGGAGCTGTGCGCCATGTCTGAGGAGCAGTTCCGCCAGCGCTCGCCCCTGGGCGGAGATGTGCTGCACGCCCACTTGGACATCTGGAAGTCAGGTGAGCCAAGGTGTGGTGGGAGCTGCCCCTAGGGTCTCCAAGCCAGGGATCCCCAGGGGGACATCAGGCCAGGAAGCAGGCTGAGTGGGTACTCTCCCCAAGAGGAAGTGGCCCCTTAGACCTATCTGGGCTCCGTTCTGAATCTCAGACCCAATTGCAGCCATTTTCTTGGATCCTGGGTGACCCTACCCAGCCCTGGTCAAGCCAACAGGACTTTAGGACAGAGCACATGGGTCATTAAAAGACTAGGCTGTGAGAACACTGGATGCCTAAGGGTGACCTTGGATGCCACAAATTACTGCTTCTTTTTTCCTTTGGTATTTGTTTTGTTTTTCCTTAAAGAAGTAACGAGGTAACGAATGTTCATGACAAAAAAAAGTGAAAAATAGTATACTATGAAAAATAACTCTCCATACCTTTCTATGGAAAGTTTATGCATATTTTATAAATATGTATATATTGTGTGCTATCAAGTGGATTCCAACTCACAGCGACCCTATAGGACAGAGTAGAACTGCTCATCAGGGTTTCCTAGACTGAAATCTTTATGGGAGCAGATTGTCAACTCTTCTGTCCTGCAGAGCCTCTCTAAACTCACTGCCATCTAGTCAATTTTGACTCATAGCTACCCCTCTTTGGATTTCCGAGGCGGTATCACTACACAAGTAGATTGCCCAACCTTCCTTCCGAGGAGTGGCTTGTTGTCATTATGTGCCACCGACTTGGCCCTGACTCACAGCAACCCCTCCTTGGGTTTCCGAGGCGGTATCACTATGGAAGTAGATTGCCCAACCTTCCTTCCAAGGAGTGGCTGGTGGGTTTGAACCTCCAGCCTTCTGGTTAGCAGTCAAGTGCCTTAGCCATTATGCTACCAGAGCTCCTGCAGAGCTGCTAGTGGATTCAAATTATCAACCTTTCAGTTAACAGCTGAGCAGAACCAACTCAATGGAAACAGGATCAATCAATCAAATTATCTATGAACAATTTATCTTTTTTTATTTTTACATACATGACACCAGAGTATTCATACTGTTCTGCACTTGATAGTGTATCTTGGATAGTGTTCCCCATCACTATACATAAAACCAAAACCCACTGCCATCAAGTTGTTTCCAATTCCTAGTGACCTATAGGATGGAGTACAACTGCCCCATAGGATTTCCAAGGCTGTGAATCTTTACAGAAGCAGATGGCCTCATTTTTCTCCTGCAGAGTGGCTGGTGGGTTGAAATCACCAACCTTTCAGTTAGCAGATGAGTGCTTTAAACACTGCACCATCAGGGCCTCTTTCAACATACCTACAGCTGCCCTATTCTTTTAATGGCTGCAGCCAACCCTAATGTTTAAATTGTCTAGATCCACCAGGCACTACTGGGGCTTTGGAAGAAGCAGTGTTTGCTCAATGAGTCAAGACCCCTGTCCTAAGAGACCCAACATGAATAAAGGGACAGGGCCTATTTGTATGACCCAGTCAGAGACCTGTGTCCTACCCAGTCCAGGCAGTCCAGGTGGCAGCCAGTGCCAGGCTAAGAGCTGGTGGTGATGTGGGCAGAAGCTGAGCTGGCTTCCGCCCTTCAGTGGCTGCCTCACACCCACCACTGCTTGATCTGGAGGTGGGAAAGCCAGGGAGGGGGCCAGTGGGCCGTGTGGAGATCAGCAGGGGCTGGAGGATCATGGTGAACTTGGCAGTGGAAGGCAGGGAGCTGCTGTTTATTATGCCAGGCACTGAATGAGAGTCTGTGTGGATTTAATTACCTTGTGTCCTTGCAAGGTCTGCAAGGTGTCATAGACCCATTCCGTAGGTGAGGAAAGGTGGCTCAGCGAGGTTCAATGTCTACTGTCCTCATCTGAACAATGAGAGGCTGCATGCAGGATCCCTAAGGCCCCTCCTGGCTACCAAATCCCAGAATTATCTTCCAGAAGCAGCAACTTGTAAATAACTTGTCTTCCCAGAATGGCAGGAGGGAGGGAGCCATAGAGACAATCCCCAGCCACAGAGAGACTTCTGTGGCTCTGTAGTCCTACCCAGATGCAGATTCGGTGGAGTCTCTCTGGGTACCCCAACCTGCTCTCCTTGCCCCACAGCGGCCTGGATGAAAGAGAGGACCTCACCTGGGGCGATTCACTACTGTGGTGAGCCCGGGACAGGGGCAGGGAGGGGTGTGGGATTGAGGGCTGTCTGCAGCTCCCCACTTACCTCCACCCTTCCTGCTGCCAGCCTCGACCAGTGAGGAGAGCTGGACCGACAGCGAGGTGGACTCGTCCTGCCCTGGACAACCCATCCACCTGTGGCAGTTCCTCAAAGAGCTGTTGCTCAAGCCTCACAGCTACGGCCGCTTCATCCGGTGGCTCAACAAGGAAAAGGGTGAGTGGGGTGCCCTGAAGGAGAGCTGTGTGGGGCTTAGGGGGATGATGGGAACGAGGGAGCCCAGGGGTTGGTGGGGGCCTGGCTGTGCTCTGGCCAGGTGCCTGGTGCCAGGCACAGCAGAGGGGTCAGAGGCTAGGCAGAGAGGTGGAGCTGTCCCTCTAACTTCCACCAACATGCCACTATTAATGCATATCCCCTCCCAGCGTCTCTGTCTCCCCAGCCAGACACCATCTTATTTCAGATCCCCAGCACCACACAGTGCCCAGAACATAGTTGCTGTGGAGTCAGTTCTGACTCATGGCAACCCTACATGCATCTGAATAGAACTCTGTAGGGTTTTCAGTGGCTGCTGTTTCTGAAGTCAACTGCCCGACCTTTCTTTGAGGTATCTCAGGGTGGACTCAAACCCCCAACTTTTAGTTTAGCAGCCAATACATGAACTGTTTGCACCACCCAGAGACATGGCCCAGAAAAGAGTCGAGAAAAAAACCAAACTACTGCTGAGGATTAGATACAGTCTTTGACCACAAAATATCATAGCTTTACTGGAGAGACCAGACCAATGACGTCCAGTAAGAAATACAACGCAAGCCACATATGTATTATTCAATTTCCTAGCAGCTACATTGAAAAAAAGGAGCAAATTAATTGAATTTTACATTTTCATAAAAATGTGCTTATTTAGCCCAATATATCGAAATTATTATATCATCACATATAATCAAGATAAAAATGATTCATAAGATAATCTCTTGAGTCTTCTAAATCTGATGTGTATTTTACACTTCTAAACCCAAAACACCAAACCCTTGGCAGTTAAGTTGACTCTGACTCGTGGCAACCCCATGTGTTATAGAGTAGAACTGCTCCATGGGGTTTTCTTGGCTGTACTCCTTACAGCAGCAGATCACAGGGCTTTCTTCCACAGCACCACTGGCTGAGTTCAAACTGTTGATCTTCAGGTTGGTAGTTGAACACAAACTGTGCCACCCAGGAATCTTTACCCCCATTCAATTTGGACTGGCCACATTTCAGGTGCTCAGTTGCCACCTCTAGCTGGTGGCTAGCGTCATGGACACTGCAGGTCTAGGTGGTGTGTGTGTTTTGAAAAAGGCTCAGAGTTAAGAAAGCTGGATCCTAGGCCGCATCTTGCCATTAGTAGCTGTAAATGTCTGGACCTCAGTCTTATCTGTAAAATGGAGTACATTTATTCACCCAACTTCCTCTACTGAGCACCTACTCTGATTGCATGCTCACTCAGTGACATTTACAGAGAATTAATTATGATGCCCTGAGGGTGACAGGAGTCTCAGATTATCTGTCCTCCAGGGACCTTCTGTCTGGTGGGAGAACTAGCAGTTGAAATGAGCTATGTGCAGAGCATTTTGGGGCTTTGGTGATGCTCTGTGTGGGTGCTGTGGGGGCAGGAAGGAGATAAGCCATGCTTGGGTCCAGGAGGACTTCATGGAAGAGGTGACAAGGTGACTGGGGCTGAGTGTGGAGGATGAAAGGGGTTGGATGGAGGTGGTGGAAGTTTCTGTGCAGTGAACAGGTGTTGAAACCCTGAGTGCGACTGAGCCAGTCCTGGGTGGGGGAGAGGGGGAACAGTTCCATAGTCGAGTTCTGGGGAAGGGAGATTAAAGTGGGGTCTGGAAGGCTTCCTGGAGGGAGTGTGCTAATCCAGGCCTTGCCAGCAGAATTTGGAGTGAGCTCCAAGGGTAATAACAATGTAATGACTTGCCACAAGGGCAAGCTTCCTTCAAGCACTTCATTCTAAGTCTTTCTATAACAACTCAGCAATCCCTGATAGAAATTGGCAGAGAGTCACTAGCCCCCTAGAAACTGGCAGAGTCAAGATTCAAACCCAGATCTGCCCAGCTCCAAATCCACTTTCCACCACTCATATTAATGAATCCTGTATGAAAGAGCCGTGTGGGCTGAAGCATCTAAGAACTCCAAAGAGGACATTTCAAGCTTGGGAACTGCAAGGCAAGGACCAAGTAGGGCAAAGCCAGGAGCCCTGTGGGACCTCTGGGTAGAGGGTGCAAACCTCCCAACAGGAGCAGAGGCTGGCAAGGGCCAGGCCCTCAGTGGTCCAAACAACTTTCTAAGATTGTTCTAATGTTGCTCACCCTGGTGGCACCCAGGAGGCTTAGACAGCTCTGGTGGTATAGTGCCTAAGGCATTTGACTACTAACCAGAAGGCTGGCAGTTCAAACTTACCAGCCACTCCTCAGAAGGAAGGTTGGGCAAT